CAATGCCCATGCCTTCGAGTGTTGCACAGCCTTCACAGTTGCAGCACGTGGAGCGTTGTACATGAGTGCCAACTCACCGAACGACATCGCCTCGGTACACTGCATTAGGTGAAGCAAAATGTCAGCATCACAGTATAAGACAAAAATACTATTACTACATCAAAATGGGTACACACCGTTTGAACAAGCACACCGTCCTTGTAGACCTCGCAGACGCCGCTCTCCAGGATGTAAAAGTTGTCTCCGTCGTCTCCCTGCTTGATGATAATGTCACCGGGCTCGAACTCCTTTGGGAACATGGCGTCGAGCACGATATCGTGCTGCTTCTCATCCAACGACTTGAACAGGATATTCTCGGCTACCATGCGACCGATTCCTTCCCTCTCCTCTGCAGACTTGGGATGCACCACACGCTCGAATTGGCGAGCACTGTCACGTCACATTCAGAACAACAAGGAGGGTCAAGTTAGTGCAACCAGCATCAGACAGGACGGGACCACTACCGTCACTAACCTCAATGGGTCAATAGTTTCAGCGGACACCGAAGTGCGTCGTCCCTTGGCCATGATCTTGGGTGGCGGCACGCTGGCAGCGATCTCACCGACGGCGTCTCCACCCTCGTCCTCGTCCTCACTCTCGCTGTCGTCTGAGTGATCTGTTAGTGAAAACAGACAAGAGACCCCTCGGTTAGATACCCTCCTCTCTCTGCCAGAATTAACGCTCCAAACCGTCGCGTACATTGCGAACGTAGTGAGGCAGGGTTAACATCCTTTGCGCCGGGCTTGTGACGCGGCGTGGCTTCCTCCGGGTAGTTGGTGTGCAGGTACTGGATGATGTGCAGAATCGGGTTCTCCGGTTTGGCCAGTAGCAGCGACTCCACGAGGTTGATGAAGAGCGTGTTAATGCCCTTCTTGTGCAGGTAGTCCTGTAGTTCCTGCTGTACGCCTTCTGCGTCCGTCATGGTCTCTGCTTTGGGTGCTGTGAGGGTTTGTATTTGGTAGTGAACGAGACCAGTTCGCTCGCCTGCGTGCTGGGAGGGCTCTGAACTAAACTGAGAGCCTGGCTGGCTGGCGTCACGAGACTTTCGCTCCAAAATGGAAGAAACTGCTGCAACAGACGCTGAACCTACACGAAAGATCGCTCACTAGTCCGCCTTTGTGTGTAGTCGCACTCGACGCGATGGAGCGAAGTCCCGAATTAGAAGTCGTCAGAGCTGGCGTTGGTTTTTTTTCTCGTGCCTCCTCGGCTCAATCTAAGTTTAGACCACAAGTTGCACTCAAATCTCAGAAATTGTTTCGCCAGTGCGCTGCCACCATCTGGACTGAATAAAAATGGGAGTTTTTTATTCACATGTGAATCCGTTTTAGGCATGCTAAAACCAAAAAAACGCTTTCGCATTTACAGCTAAGACCCTGAGCTAAGAGGTATTAATACTTCGAAGTACATACAGATGACAATCATGGCAACTGTAATTTTGGGCCGCGAAAAAGATTGGTTTAAGTCTCCTAAGGCTTTTTAGCGTTGTACGCCAAACTCTCCTGGTTCAGGGGGTTGTCCGGAGAACGGCGCCACTATAAAAATCATAGCGACACAGTATCACAAACACCTGTCAGCAATGCACAAAAGAAATAATAGCCGCAGTCTTACCATCTCGCTAAGCTTTTGCTTGTACTGCGACAACTTCAATCCCGGGAAGTCCTCCTTGACCTGAGGCATCATAACTTCCTCAAAGGCCTTGTAGGCGGCCTTCGCTCTGCGTTCGGGATGCTTCTCCAATTCCTTGTCGCCCACACTAAGTAAATCGAGCGCCGCGTCCAAACTGCGCGCATCCGAGGGCTCATCCTGGTTCCTGTTTCTATTGGCTTGGAAGTTGTTCTCGAACTTAATGGCCTTCTTACCGGGGTTTCGGGCTGTGCGAGCCTCCTCGGCTTCTCTAAGCGCCGCCATCTCAGCCTGCGTGAGCTTTTCACTGGCGCCTCCGTTGTTTTGAAGCGCCGCGAAGGCTGAGGGCTTCTTGGCCCCGCGATTGTTCTTCTTGACTGCGGGCTTAAGTGCGTCCTCCCAGGGCTTGGCCACCTCTTTGACCGTCTTCTTCTGTTTGCGGATGGCGTGCTTATCCTCATCCAACGCGTGCTCCTCCAGCGCCAATAGCTTCTGTTTTTCGGCCTTCTTAGCCTCCTGCTCGGCGCGCTTGCGCTCCTCCTCCTGGCGACGCTTGTCAGCGCGCGCGTCCGATCCCTTAGCCCATTCCGCGGACTCGGCAGCGGCGTCCGCAGCAGCCTTGACGGCGTCCTTGCCAGCCTTAGCGGCGGCCTTTTTGGCCTTAGCCGCTTCAACCTTGGTGTTCACACCTCCCTGCTTCTTACCCATAGCGATTGGTGTTGGTACCGGTAGATTTGGTTTTACTTAAAGTATTGCTTTGCAATCAGTGCTGACAAGAACTGTATAAACGTTCAAAGTACAAAACGCGTTAAAACGCCTCCCTGAGTGTATATACGACGAACAAAAGTTATTATGAACGTCTAATCGCGTGGCACAGTGTACCAAATTACTGCAACTTTCTTAAAAATATGAATATAATATTGTTTCAATATTTCCAGTATAATTTACAAAAGTAGGCTCATAGAGACTTTAGATGCTTACGAAACAATTGGACGTCGGCAGCTGCCTCAGTATCATATCTTGATGTATGTATTGCCCATAATAGCTCTTAGTTATAAATCTGATAGCTAATCATTATCTCAGAGTCCACAGACAAGCAACTTGCAATGGACTGCTCACTCTACTTCCGAAAACACCCTCCCTCAAGAACAAGGCCCTCCAACAAAGACATCTGCGCTTACGTCTTCGAGCCCCTCGGCGCGAACTACTTCCGCTGCAAGCAGTGCGGTAGTGAGCGCAAACAGCTCCCCAACTCTGGCTACTCAAACCTCATGGCCCACCTGACGCTCAAGCACGAAGGCTTCAAGGCCCAGTATGGCGTGTCACTGTCCGGTCACGCGGGACGTCTCCAGGACTACGGCTTCGTTTCCGAGAAGACGTCCCATCGTTTCCAGTGGATGCGTTGGGTTGTGGATCCGAACATGCCGCTCTCTGAGGTCGACAACGAGCTGACACGCTCTATGTCACGGTGGAAATCCGTGTCGCCACGTGTGCTATTCAACAGCATACACGATGTAGCCAAAAAGATCAGCAAGACTATTGAAACAGACATAGGTACAAGATTCGGAATAATGTTTGACGGATGGTCACATGGTTCTATGCACTACGTTGGCTTATATGATGTATATGATCTGGACGGCACTCTACGTCTACAACTTCTCGCTGTGTCACCACTCGACAGAGAACCCCAAGACGCAGACTCGCACATCCAGCTGTTTGACGGTGTTCTGGATCTATACGACAAGACACTCGGGATGGTGGTATTTATCATCGGAGACAACTGCAACACAAACCAGGCTATTGCTACTAAGCTCGGTGTCCCTTTGATTGGATGTGCCAGTCATCGATTTAACCTTGCGGTTAACCGATACCTTACTGATTACGAGCCGTTACTAGCGCAAGTTAACACATTGATGTCAAAGATATCCCAAATCAATAATTTTGCGGAACTCGCAAAATCCACCAGTCGACATCCTATCACACGGAATATTACGAGGTGGTGTTCAAGTTTCGAAATGTTGGAACGCTACAATCGCATCCGCCCTCAGATCAAGACTGTGGACGCGGTAAAAGACTTTATACCGACGGGTTCTGCGCACCGCAAGCTGCTTGCTCTCCTCGAACATATGAAGAAGTTCCAGAGTGTGACGAAGAAACTGTGCAGTGTGACGGTATCGACTTAGCCGACGTTCGGCTTCTGTTCGACTCTATGGTGCGTGAGTACCGATCAATGCGTGATCAGCTTAAGTCGACTGCTAAGATTTTCCACTCTCCCGTCTTCGAGGCAGCGGCTGTCAAGGTGATCAACGAAGGTGTTTTTTCAGCTGCAGAAGCTGCAGCGGTCAAGCGATTCGAGATCTTAAGTAGTGGTAGCAAAAGGAAGGCATGCAAGGAAGATTACGCGACGCAGATTCTTCGTGCTGGTTCAAGCAAGCGCGCTAAGCATGGAGAAAACAGTGGCGATATTACCTACAGCGAGTTGTTGAAGCAGCTACCCCCAACATCAAATGCATGCGAGCGATTTTTCTCGCAGTGCAAGCTGGTGCTTTCACCTCAGCGGACATGCATACTGCCTGCCAACTTGGAGCTGATTATGTATGGCAATATTGCAATACTAACTGCAGTTTCTTTTATTGGTCATTGTGGAATTTCCCTTTTTAAGATTGCGCTGACCCACCGTCAATACTGTATTGGAGAACCCTGATACTAATACAAACCGTTAAACTAATGAAGGTTTGCTAGTGGCAAAATTTTGCGCCTCAAATATACACACCGATACAATGGCTTTGGCTCTCCCGATAAAGAACCAGTAATTTAAAGGTTAGCAGTTCCCAACAAGGCGATTGCGCTTCAAACTCCGCTGGATTATCTTCTTTTGTCAGCTGAAGCACCGCAACGAGTTCTTCCGATAAGATGTTGCTCCTGCTACAAATGAATTGTTATGCCTATCTTGCTTGTACCCAACCGGTATCAATTCCCTTTACAAAATGAATTGTGATACTTGATTACAAATGGAGCCTTGAAAAATCAGTAAATACAACCCCCATACTAAATGGGATTATAATGACGGTACGGCCACGGTATTGCACGAGGCTCAGGGTTTTTCCGGTGTAAATTCAAAGAGGGCTTTCAGAAGTTTCGCAGGCATTACGATCGTTACTGGTAGCGAATAGTAAGCAGTTTGTATTTCATCCTGTGGTCGTCAAGTGGATAGGACACAGCTGACAGCGTACTGCATGGCTCGGCGGCGTCCGAAGGACCTACACCGATCCAGCCAGCGTAGTGTGCTGAGTGCCTTGGCTAAACTTGTCCAGACATACCGAGGGGTCATTCTTGTGGGGCTTGCTTGTCGTTTGATTCTTGTGTGCTCATATGTGAGCATCTTTGGGCCAATCACCTCGTTTACAGCTAATCTTCTATTTCCGTCCTTAAAATGGAGGTCTGATCCTGAAATTGTGCAAAATGCTACCCCTCTTGGCTGTGATGTGTGTCAAGGTGAGTTTGCTCTGGATGCCCGTTTGATTGGCCATTCCGATGATATTTTGTCTGATATGATAGCAGGTTGTGCGCCAGAGTATATGCCAATGCTTCAATGCTGCTTTCTTCCGTGCTTCAAAATTTGTCATGTATTTGCGCTTTAGTGACGTCATAAATGTGGGAAGTCTACCACGATTTTGGATATATCTCGCTGGGCTCGTCATTCTACACCTTTGCTACTTCAAAGTGGCTACACTACAATGCAAAGTGGTGTGAAGTAGCTAAAGTAACAGATTACTTTTAGAGTTTTTATTCAGAAAATCGACTTTAGGTCAAGGTGAGAGCTGTCCAGTGCAATTTGGCTGGCTGCGAGCTCAGCCACAACGTGCTGTTGCGGACAGCACTCCACAACTCAATTTGCGCCAAGGATGCCGAGTGAGCCAAAGCACACGCTGGCCGCGCGCACTCGCGTGCTTGACGCCTTCAAGCAAGGGCAGGACTGGCTTCTTGTGGCCCACCACAACGCCATCCCCCCAACCACCGCCCGCCGCATCGCTGACAGTGGCTCCCCAGATCTCAAGCCAAGGGAAGGCGCTCGTGCTTTCAACATCAAGTGCACGCCAGAGATCGAGGCGGCGCTGGAGGAATACGTCGAGGTGAACTGCCTCTACACGCTGGTACAGCTGCAACAGATGGTCGCGTGCGACTTTG